CAAATTGAAAGTTTTATTGCACTTTAAACACGTGGGTAAATAAATACCCGAGTAATTCCCATTACAATTTGTAAACACATTACAAATCATAGTTATGGACCAATCATAACGAAATTTTGCATGAAAGCCCGTCTCCGACAAAAGCAGGACTTATGGTTTTTAGCAATGATCGGCTTAGGGGATGACAATTCAACGAAGGATATGGACCAATTAATTGTCAATTATATTGTTGTATGTACTCGGATGTGGGAGTTACTCGTAAATATTTACGGGTTTTGCGAATTCCTATATGTTTAGTATTACCATTACCATACTAGAGGGTGGTCAAACATGGTAAAGTGTCAAACTTAGCGCTCTGTGGTAGTTGTATAGGTCATATGGTCGACCTCGTCCGTTTGCAACTCGTCGAATTAATAATTTCCGACCCTATGAAGTATATGCATTCTTAATCAGCGAAAATTGTAAATGTAAATATTCGACTGCCTGTTGTAATCACTTTAGCCTCTAAACTAATTGACATAGATCGCCAACATTTTGAATAGAGTTGTCTTTTGTCTGCAGGCAGGTCAAGTTCAAAGATGGGCTATATCGGTCCTCGTTTATGCATAGCCATCATTTAACTGTACTCCTAAATTTTCGATATTTTGGAGTTTCTGAGCGCGATTTATATCCTTCACCACACTGTAGTATAGGGTATTATGCCTTTGTGCAAATGTTTGCTAAAGGCAAAATCCGAATGCGAAGTTTTGTTGAAATCGGTTCGTATTTAGATATAGCTCACATATATATTTTCGTACGATTTCATGTAAATGGGCACCAACTTACCATGATTTGGTAAAAACAGTGAGATGCGCAGAGTTTGGGTCAACTCGGAAATTCCATTCGTTTAATATTAAATATATATTTTTTGAAAATTTTAACATTTTGTGGGACCGATGGGTCCCACCTTCCAACATTGTAAAGCTTACTTACCTGACTTGTGATAGAACATTTGTTCCATAAGCCGAGCTTAAAATAGATTTCCTGTTACGTCGGTCTTCCAATTTGAAAGGCCATGTTGCGAAATGTTCTCTTCCAAGGGATCTTTCCATCTAAAGATCACACGACAAACTGCCACCTTGCCTGAATCCTCGTTCGGTATTAAAGGGATCCGTCAGGTCCTCTACGACATTAACTGCTGATCTTGCGCCAGTTAAAGTTATCCTGCATAGCGGAATTAATTTTGCAGGAATGCCAAATGCAGACATGGCTTTAAAACCACTGAACGGACAGAGCTGTCGAATGCGGCTTTATAGTTAACGAATAGATGGATGTGATTTTCGTGGGTCTTTTTAAGGATTTGGCGCAGAGTGAAAATCTCGTCAATGGTGGATTTGCCAAGTGTGAGGCCACATTGGTATGATCCAATAATGTCATTGACCATTGGCTTCAGTCGTTTACACAGCACGCTGGATAGCACTTTATATGCGATGCGAAGGAAACTTATTCCTCTATAGTTGGCACATATCGTCTTGTCTCATTCTTTGTGCACGGACAGAGAATGCTGATGTTCCAGTCCTTGGGCATGTATTCCTCTAGCCAAATTATACTAATCAGCTGTGGCATTCTTCTGACCAGCATCTGACCACCAGTCTTGAATAGTTCGGCTGGTAACCCATCGGCACCTGCTGCCTTTTTATTGTTCAGCAGATTAATTGGTGGTATACCCTCCTTTCCGTCATCTCTTATTGATTCTGGGGTATCTTCTTCACCACCACTATTTGATACCAGAAGCTGAAAATGCTTCGTCCAGATCCTCAACACGTTGTCTGCAGCTGTCACCAGGTTTCATTCTTCATCCCTACAATAGGATGTACCCCCACCAAAGCCTTCGGCTTTTTCTGGCTGCTGTACCTCTCGATTTGTTCCCACACACGTTTTTCATGTTATTTCTTCTTTTTTCTGAAAATACGTTTCTCCTCTATCCCTATAATTCTCCAACATTATAAAGGCATGGTAAATATATAGGATTTTGCAAAGTTTGGTTCAAATCGGATAGGCCGTTTGCATGATATTACCAACATAATTATACCCTTCACCACACTGTGGTACAGGGTATTATGTCTTTGTGCATATGTTTGTAACAGGCAAAAATAATCGAGATAGACCCATGGTTCCTTTTGAGAATATGAGTCGATTAATGCATGTCCGTCCGTCTGTCCGTCAGTCTGTCCATGTTAAATTGTAAACAAAGTACAGGTCTCATTTATGATCCGAATTGGATGAAATTTGGCACAGCTTATTTGTTTGACCCAAGGACGAACCCTATTGAAATTGGGAAAAATCGGTCCAGATTTAGATATAGCTCCCATATATATTTTCGTCAGATTTAAGGTAAATGAGGTGCCAAAGTCCCTAAATATCTTTCGATTTGCACGAAATTTGGTACAGCCTAGTGAATTAGGTCTAGAATGATGTGTGCCAAGTTTCTTGAAAATCGGTTCAGATTTAGATATAGCTCCCATATATAGTTTCGCCCGATTTTAGGTAAATGGTGCACCAAAGTCCCTGAAAATCATTTGATTTACACGAATTTTGGCATAGCGTATTGAATTAAGTCTAGAATGATGTGTGCTAAGTTTCGTGAAAATCGGTTCAGATTTAGATATAGCTCCCATATATAGTTTCACCCGATTTAAGGTAAATGGTGTACCAAAGTCCCTATATATCTTTCGATTTGCACGAAATTTGGCATAGCCTACTGAATAAGGTCTAAAATGATGTGTGCTAAGTTTCGTGAAATCGGTTCAAATTTAGATATAGCTCCCATATATAGTTTTGCCCAATTTAAGGCAAAAGATGTACCAAAGTCCCTATATATCTTTCGTCAGATTTTAGGTAAATGGTGCACCAAAGTCTCTGAAAGTCGTTCGATTTGCATGAATTTTGGCATAGCGTATTGAATTAAGTCTGGAATGATGTGTACACCTCCTATATATATTTTCGTCCGATTTTAAGTAAATTGTGCACTAAAGATCCACAGCTAGGCCGATTGACACAATGTATTGAAATTAGTATCAATTTATATCTGGCAAGTTTGCTTCAAATCGGTTCAGATATAGATATCTCGTAGCTTCCATATAATTTCGACTTATTTATTGACATTAAATTTTAAACAGTGCAGCATACCGAATAGCGTGTGTCAAGTTTGCTTTAAATCTATTTACACAAATCTGTCCCACTGTGCGCAAACTGTTCTAAACTTGAGCAAATGAAATGAAATTTAGCATAGGTTCCAGAAAGATAAAAAAATCACATATTTAACTTCGTTCAATTTCATGTCAAAATTCCTTCAAAAGGGCGACGTTTTTTTGGATACATATGTACCCAAAGTGGTGAAGGGTATCATATAGTCGGCCCAGTCCGACTTACTACTTTCCTAACTGGTTTTCAGCAAAATTTTGTGTTGTAGGTACCAGAAAGCGTGAACTATATATCCATCTTCTAACTTGATTAAAATTGGGAAGAAATATTACGATATGCAAAGTTTGAATTAAAACAGATACTCCCTTCGAGCGTTATCGTGTGCTCCAGTCAACCAGACACACAGACGGTTGGCTGGAATGGATGTGGTCCAAAGAAACTTGGGAGTGAAACGGATTTGATCCAAAGACACATATGGTGCAACGCAACTTTCGATTAGGCACATTCATATAAACAGAGGACTTCTAATAAGATGGGATATAGAAAGGATCTGATATGATTTATAAAGGTTTTTTTTTAAAGAAGACCTCTATAAGGGTCCATTATAGACCGGATACTTTTTAGAACACTTCTATATATGTTTTCTGGAAATATTGATCATCTGCTGACCTCCTTTAATAATTGAATTGGTTAAAAAGTCCTCCATCATATTTTACAACATTGTAGAAGATTTATGTCGCTTCTAATTACAAACATTTCGAATTTATTACCAAGAATTTCCCAGGAAGCCATTCAACCGAATGTTAACTTTCATTAAAGAAAGAAAAATCAGCCATTAATCATCATCCACTGTGGCAGTTTGAGTTTGTAAAGTTTTCATTTCATTTTTTTTTTCAACTACTACTGAACGATGCCATTAACTCATCTCTCATGCAAAGTCGCATTCAATTGCAATGTAAATGTTGTTTGCTTTCCATGCCGCCATCCTTTTGAAGGATACTGTTCAACATGTTACACGTGGAGCGAACGAATGGCTGATATTTATCCTGGCAACATAAGTAGACGACTGCTGGGTATCGTTTTGGTAACAGCACTGCACTGCAGTGCTGAGAAAACAAATGATGATTATCATCAGTTCAATTGTTGCACTTTAGAAAAACTCTGTGGCATCAGAGTGGTAGGTAGGTGGAACTGGATCTTAAGGATACGTGTGGAAAGTTCACTTCGCTTTAACTAATCAACTTGAATGTTTTCCTAATGCTAATATTGGTTATGTTTCCATGAATTGATTTATTTATCTTTTCTGTCTTTGAAATTAAATTTTTGGATTTGATTAATACGAAATCAGAAAACGAGAATTGCAGAGAGCGAGAGAGATCAGAGGGACAGTAATTCAATAATGTCATTATTTGTTCTGCTTCAGGTCATGTCAAACAATTGGCAATTGTTCCAATTCTTGGAAAATAAGAAAATGAAGAAGACATGAAAAGAACAAATTTTTCATTTTGTCATAACAAATACATATTTCCAAACCAACTCCCCGTTTGCACCTTTCACAGCATTGCTGTAAAGAAAAACGAAGAAAAGTCATTGTAAAACCTGATCCTTTTGCATATTTTGCTGCTGATGTGGCATTCATAAGAAATCCCTTTCTATCTCCCCTCAAAGAAACCCTCCACCCAACCACAACAATAGTCCACCACAAAAACAAACAATGCCCGTTGTTGTTCTTTCCAGGTCCATTGATATGAATTCTGTTTTCTGTGTACTAATCTTTGTTCTCTTTTTTTCTGCTTCTTCTTCTTTTTTCCAGGTCATCGTAGCATGCGAACGGCAACAAATTATTTTCTGTTGAATCTGAGCATTGCCGATTTGCTCATGTCATCGCTGAATTGTATTTTCAATTTCATTTTCATGCTGAACTCGGACTGGCCATTTGGCACAATTTATTGCACCATCAATAATTTCATGGCAAATGTAACGGTGTCGACGTCGGTCTTCACCCTAGTGGCAATATCCTTCGATAGGTGAGTATAAATATCGATTTGAACTGAGTTCCATTTCTTTTTGTCTACGTTAATAATTTATGAAGAGTTTTTGTGGGGATTTTAATGGTCGTGGCACAGTGAGGTGTGAGGAAAATCATTTTAATTTTTTTCGACAAAATGCTAAATCATTGTCAGTTTGGCAGGAACAACTTTAGAATACCAAAATTAAACAGAATACCTTTCTAAGGTCTTACATAAAATAAATCAAATTACCGCCTTTCAGAAGATGTGAATAACTTTCAATCAACCTTCTATAGACATTCTGTTCATTACAGAAAGTAGATCTAGAATGAATAGAAGACCTATCAAAAGATTTTCTATACATAGACTACATTTCAAAAAATCATAGACTGAACAAGAATTTTCCAAAGTTATTCTATAGACAGAAGACCTTTTAAACCTTCTTCCATAGATATACGACGTTTTATAAGTACTTCCATACACAATAGGTTTTTCAAAAGAATTTCAGTAAATAGAAGGAATGTCTAAAGGACTTCCATAGACACAGGAAGATCTAATAAAATGATTTCTATAAACAGATTGCCTTATAAAAGCAGACGACTTACCAAAGGTCCATTATAGGCAAAAGCAACCCTTCGAAATCGCCTGCGATAGGTAAAATATCATTAAAATGGATAGAAACTCGTTCAAAAAATCCTTAACAGAAATAATATATCTTAAAGCTCGCCCGGTCTATCTCTTTTTCCCGCTACAAACATATGCACAAAGGCATAATACCCTGTTCCACCGTGAGTTGAAGGGTATAATAAAGCGTATTATACCCTCAGCCTTATGGCTAATGACCGTATATACACATTGATACGGAAAAAAGGTGCCTCATCGAAATATTGGTTCTAAATCTCATCTTATTAGATCCTCTCCGAAGATTTCTGGTAACTTCCTCGACAAAGGGTCAATATTTTTAATAATGGTATGCCCGATTTGATCCAAACGTTTCACATTGAAATATTTCCTTTAAACTCAAATCATCTTCAAAGATGGAGACCTTCCTATAAAATGGTAGCTCCCCTATAAAATGGTCAAAACTGTTCTGAAAATGCATTTGAAAATAGCATGCGAACAGGCCATACCTGTATATTGTTCATAGATGGGACATATCGCTCCACTCTTTCTAGTACCTCCCCACATATTATACAAAATTTGCTCATCGTAATATTTTCACCTAGCCTAGATCACATCCAAATACCGGACACATTGGTCCACTACTTCTGGTACCTCCCCCACAATGGGTCAACATTTTGAAAATTTGTTAATCCAGTAATAATTGTGTAGAATTTTCGATTTGATGCCAAATATGCACATCGTAATAAAATATATTGCGAACGGACTATTCAATTTGAACTAAAATTTGTACAACTTAATATGTTAACCATGCCTTTATAATGTTGATTAGATCGATCCTGTGTCAACATTTGACTTTTTTAGTCCAATTTAAGATAATGGAATGTATCGTTTGATCCAATTTTTGTAAATCCCAATATTTATACCTTTACCACACAGTGGTACAGGGTATTATGTCGAGATAGACACATGGTTCCTTTTGAGAGTATGCATAGAATCACATTCTGAGTCGATTTATGCATGTCCGCCTGTCCGTCCGTCCATGTATTTTTGTGAGCAAAGTACAGGTCGCATTTATGATCCGAATTGGATGAAATTTGGCACAGCCCATTGGTTTGTCCCAAGGACAAATCCTATTGAAATTGGAAAAAATCGGTTCAGATTTAGATATAAATCCCATATATATTTTCGTCGGATTTTAGGTAAATGGTGCAGCAAAGTCCCTGAAAATCATTAGATTTGCACGAATTTTGGCATAGCTTACTAAATTAAGTCGACAATGATGTGTGCTAAATTTCGGGAAAATCAGTTCAGATTTACATATAGCTCCCATATATAGTTTCGCCCGATTTTTGATAAATGTTCCATCAAAGTCCCTGAAAATCATTAGATTTGGCATAGCGTAGTAAATTAAGTCTAGAATGACGTGTGCTAAGTTTCGTGAAAATCGTTCCAGATTTAGATATAGCTCCCATATATAGTTTCGTCCGATTTAGGTAAACGGTGCATCAAAGTCCCTGCAAATCTTTGATTTGAACGAATTTTAGCATAGCGTATTAATGATGTGAGCAAAGTTTCGTAAAAATCGGTTCAGATTTAGATTACTCCCGTATATAGTTTCGTCCGATTTTAAGTAAATAGTTGACCAAAGTCCCTGAAAATCATTAGATTTGCAGGAATTTTCGCATAGCGTTCTAAATTAAGTCTAGAATGACGTGTGCTATGTTTCGTGAAAATCGGTGTAAACTTAGATATAGCTCTTATATAGTTTCGCCCGATATTAGTTAAATAGTGCACCAAAGTCCCTGCAAATCTTTGATTTGAACGATTTTTGGCATAGCGTACTAAATTAAGTCTAGAATAATGTGTGAAATTCGATTTAGATATAGCTCCCATATATATTATCGTCCCATTTTATGTAAGTGCTACACCAAAGCCCCCTATATCTTTCGATTTTGGTATAGCGTCTCGAATGATGTGTGCAAAGTTTCGTGCAAATCGGATCGTCAGATTTTAAGTAAATGGTGCACTAAGCGAAGAATGACGTGATTTAGATATAGCTCCCATATATAGTTTCATCTGATTTTAAGTAAATGTTTCATCAAGGTCCCTGCAAATCTTTCGATTTTCACGAATTTTACATAGCGTACTGAATTAAGTGTAGAATGACGTGTGATAAGTATCGTGCACTATGGGGTGAAATGCCGACAACACCAACTGTGACTTTAATGACTATGTAAATAAAATCCGCAGCGGCTGTAGAAGCTCTAAGTCTAAATTATAGGAACTTCAGTTGGAAAATTAGATTAATATCTTCAAAATATCATAAAAATCACCAAAATATGGACAAGAAAAATATGTTTGTCCACCAAGAACTCGAAATGGTTAATTACAACTGTTAAGTCCGCACTATAGGGACTTGGTTGAAGACGGTATGTAAGGTGCAGTGAGAGACTCTCCTAGTAAATCCAGTACACGATAGTACTCAGGAGCCGACAAAGCCTTAAACAACAACCATTTCGGTGGGAAAATGTGTCTCTATAACCATAAAAATATTTCAAATGTGGCACATGGGGACTGTGGTAAAATATTTACCTATAAATACGAAAATGCTGTGAAAATATAATACAGACCAAAACATTGCCTTCTATTAAGCATTTTCTGCGAAATTGGAGTTTCAATAATTCTGCATTTTGAGTTATCATTGGATACTAACTCTGCTTACCAAAAATTATAAATACTTGTGCACGATTAGATATAGCCCCATATAACTATACCCTCCAATTTTGGTATCTTTATTTGACATGAATACACTATTTCAACATTGACCCAAATTTTGGGAGCTTGTTGAGACTTGTGAAAAATTTTTCATCAAAAATATCTGCAATTTAGTATTTCTGGCGCCCAATGGTAAATACCCTACATAACAATGTCCCCCTATTCCTTATATCGTTGTTGAAAACTTCATCTTAAATAAATGTCAGTATCCCTATGGTAGATGTCATAGCTAGTTGGGCCAGTGCGAACATAACACATTTTTACTTGTTCGTACCAAAATTACGAACGTCAATAAAAGTTATACTACAGACCTGTCGTCAATAAATATTGTGTTTCTCTCTTCCAATGTATTTTCTGGAATCGAACTTATTGAACTGAACTCCGCGTTTATTTTGCTTGTCAAAACTTTGTCCACTAACTTTATATTTCAAAGGTGAACACACAATTTTCCACTGAACACGGTGCAACACCTGTGAAAACAAACTTTTAAATGAAGTTGCCACCACACGTGGCAAACAAAATTTACCAACTCATGTCATATTTTTGTTTTGTAACAAAATTTATGGAGTTGTTTTTTTTTTTTGCTCTTTATTGATTCGAGCGTGTTCATATTTCTGCTCTACTGAGTTTAACAATAAATCATTTAACCACCTCTACCATTCCCCATAAACCATAACCATTCATCTTATGTTCGTTTTTCTTACCTCGTCCCCTACTTCTTGTTCTATTTTTTATTTCGCAGATACATAGCCATTGTACATCCACTCAAGCGTCGGACGTCAAGGCGTAAAGTACGCATAATATTGGCATTAATATGGATTTTGAGCTGTATCCTGTCGGCGCCGTGTCTACTCTATTCGAACACAATGACCAAGAGGTAAGTGTAATGTGATATACGCGTTTGTATGTACGCATGGAACAATGATGGGGCGAATTTGTGGAGGAGAAGTTAATATAAGCAAGCATCATCATGAATTATGTTGGTAATTTATGTATATGTATATAGATTGAGTTGGTATTATGTTGGGGAAATAAAAAAAGTTCGTTTTAAGGGAGAAAGTTATTTATATCGATAAAGTAAATATTTTTCTTTTAAGTAACTGCGAAAACGCCTAATGGCCATACTTTTTAACAAGTAATAAATAAACATACGGTTATTAGAAAGCTTTTAAATATATTGGAAGTTTGCAAATCTTTCGAGGTGGTAGGGCTCGTAGCTGTTTTGCTCGTATTATTGTTAATGTTATATAAATATATATTAATGACTCCAAGTTGTTAATATTTATGGCGGAGAGATGTAACCTCAAAAATTTGTGTCGGGTATGTGGTGTCGGATAATGGGCGAAATAAATCTAAAATTTGATAAAGAATACAAGTGTTACAAACAACCATACCCATGAAGCCAAAAACTAAGCAAATCAATAGGGAAATGCTAAATCCTTAAACAGTTAGTCAATACACGAGCTAATAAAATTGACCTACGATGAATTTGCCCCAGGGTCTCATAACATAAACAATTTGCGATCTTTAGCTTTCATTCATACAACTTGTAAAGGACGAAGGTGCTGTTGATATGATTGTTGCATAGACAAGGCAGAAGTGGTACTGACGAATCGTGTCAAGCTAACAAGCCCTCTGAAAAATTTAACACTATAAAATGGGAAGTAATGGGCCAGTATTGAAAAAAAAATTGTTTCACTAAGAAAATATGTTACTGTCTTTGTTTATGTGTAACTACAAATAAAAGTAAGGTACAGCGGAATGCACTTTTTATACACACCACCATGTGTGCTAATAGATTTTTTAAGCTCTGAAAAAAATTAAGGGAACCTCCAGTCCTCGATTTTAATTTTTTTAGATTTTCAGGGGGCAAGTCAAGGTTTGTAACTTTCCACATATTTGAATATTTTAAAGGGGCCGACTATATGATACCCTTCACCACTTTGGGTGTATTCAACAGATGAATCCTAACAGACGTCGCATTTTTAAAGACCAGTAAAATGAAATTGGATCCATAAACATGTCATTCTGCAACCGATACTAAATTTTTCATTTGCTCAGATTTATAAACTATATCTAAATCTGAACCTATTTCAGGAAACATAACACACATCATTCTAGACCTAATTCATTACGCTGTGCCAAATTTAGTGCAAATCGGAAGATATATAGGGATTTTGGTGAACCATTTACATTAAATCGGACGAAAATATATATGGGAGCTATATCTAAACCTGAACCGATTTTCAGGAAACTTAACACACATCATTCTAGACCTAATTCATTACGCTGTGCCATATTTCATGCAAATCGATATATATATATATATATATATATATAGGGATTTTGGTGGACCATTTACATTAAATCGGACGAAAATATTTATGGGAGCTATATCTAAATCTGGACCGATTTTCACGAAACTTAACACACATCATTCTAGACCTAATTCATTACGCTGTGCAAAATTTCGTGCAAATCGATATATATATATAGGGACTGTGGTGCACCATTTATTAAATCGGATATATATGGAGATACGGGGGCGGGTGGCGACCTATGCCAAAATTTCATCCAAATCGGATCATAAATGCGACCTGTACTTTCTTCACAAAAATACATCGACGGAGAGACGGACATGCGTAAATCGACTCAGAACGTGATTCTATGCATATTCTCAAAAGGAACCATGTGTCTATCTCGTTTCCTTTTGCCTGTTACAAACATATGCACAAAGACATAATACCCTGTACCACAGTGTGGTATAGGGTATAAATAACTTGTTTTTGATGGCTGGCATAAAAACTCCTCAGTGGAACATCGAAATTCGAAAATTCCAACGGCATTAGAAGGAGTACATGTCTGGCTCTCACTTCGTACAAAAATGGCGGAAATATAATTTTTTTTTTAATTAAAATTAAGGAAGATTTCCATCGAATGGATTTATCCTAGTTCATACGATAGCTATATAATCACAGAGAATGTATGGGAGCTATATGTAAATCTGAACCGATTTCAACAAATACATACATTAATATAGACCTATTTCAGAACGATGTGCAAAAATTTGTCTCAATCGGACACATATTGGAAGTCTGGTGCACCATTTACCTAAAATCGGTCGAAACTATATATGGGAGCTATGACTAAATCTGGACCGATTTCCACAAAACTTTATATACAGCAATATTGACCTATTTCATGTTGTCTCAATAGGACAAATATTGGGAGTTTGGTGCACCATTTACATTAAATCGGGCGTATCTAGATATGAAAACTATATCTAAATCAGAACCGATTTCAACAAAACTTTACAGACATTAAACTAGAGCTAATTCAGTAAGCTGTGGGAAATTTTTCCAGTATAATATAAACTTACTGTAAAACACATTTTTACTATTTTATTCGGGATATATTGTTTTATACCCTTCGCCACACTGTGGTACAGAATATTATGTATTTGCGCTTATGATTGTAACATGATCCGAGATAAACCCATTGTTCCTTTTAGAATCAATTTCTAAGTCGATTTATGCATCACCGTCTGTTCATGTTAAATTGTAAACAAATTACAGATCGCATACATGATCCACATTAGATGAAATTTGGCACAGCCCACTTATTTGCTCCAAGGACAAACCCTGCTGAAATAAAGAGAAGTGGAGTTGGGGATTTAGCTTTCCCTATGCAGCACTCTGTGGAATGTATGAGGGTAGCGATTATATGTGGTACTGCCGAAGTAAACGTGTATATACGGTCTGGTACTAGGGGACTTTAATGCACACCATGAATTTTGACACTCCGTAGTAGGTCATGATCAGACCGGTAGTACAAAATGAAAAAATTCGCTGTTGCAAACATAAATTTACTGTGAAAAAAATTCATTTCGGGGGGGGGTTCGGGCCCCCAGGGCTCCCCCCCCTGCGTACGTCCCTGCTGTGCACCATCTACATGAGGAGACGAAGATCCATTCCTTATGTCAGCATAGAAATTTATTTTCGTTGCAATATCTGCTTGGGAGCTTCAGATAGAATTATCCTAATCAACATATGGTAAATAGAACTTCGCCACTCAGTCGTGTCAGAAAGGATCTGCGTGACCCAGAGAGATAGAGAGAGAAATGTCCTATGTTATAAAAAAGAACCTTAGCTGCATTTCCTAATTTCGACAAACAGGAAGAATAACTACATATGCTACAACAAACAAAAAGGTGGCATATCGGTTCACCTTCAATTAGAGTCCCATATAACAATGTCGTCACATTTTCAGTCTTTTGAGCTTTGTCTATATTAACCAGTAAGGAAAGTTCAAAAGTCGGGCGGGGCCGACTATATGATACCCTTCACCACTATGGGTAAATACAAGAGGCGCTAATATATACAATATCCTGTAGAAAGAACAGACATATCACCTTTAGATTTTTCCAAAACTTAACACACATTATTCTAGGATTAATTCACTACGTTTCGTGCAAATCGAAATATATATAGGGACTTTGGTACACCATTTACCTAAAATCGGACGGAAATACATATGGGAGCTATATCAAAATCTGAACCGATTTCCACGAATCTTAGCACAAGTCATTGTAGACTTTATTTAATGCGCTATGCATATATTCGTGCAAATAAAATGATTTTCAGGGACATTTGTGCACCATTTAACTAAAATCGGGCTAAACTATATATGGGAGCTATATCTAAATCAAAACGAATTTTCACGAAACTTAGCACACATTATTCTAGACCTAATTCAGGCCTAGGCTACACCAAATTTCGTGCAAATCGAAAAATATATAGGGACTTTGGTACACCACTAACCTAAAATCGGGCGATACTATATGTGGGTGCTATATCTAAATCTTAACCGATGTTCACGAATCTTAGCACAAGTCTTTCTAGACTTAACATAATACGCTATGCCAAATTTCGTGCAAATCAAATGATTTTCAGGGACCTTGGTGCATCATTTACCTAAAATCGGGCGAAACTATAAATGGGAGCTATATCTAAATCTGAACCGATTTCCACGAAACTTAGCACACATTATTCTAGACCTAATTCAATAGGCTATACGAAATTTCGTGCAAATCGAAAGATACATAGGGATACATAGGTAGACCATTTACCTTAAATTGGACGAAAATTTATATGGGAGCTATATCTAAATATGAACCAATTTTTCCCAATTTCAGGGTTCGTCCTTGGGCCAAATAAGTGAGCTATGCCAAATTTCATACAAATCGGATCATAAATGCGACCTGTACTTTGTTCACAAAAATACATGGACGGGCGGACAGACGGACATGCGTAAATCGACTCAGAAAGTGATTATATGCATATTCTCAAAAGGAACCATGTGTCTATCTCGTTTCCTTTTGCCTGTTACAAACATATGCACAAAGACATAATACCCTGTACGACAGTGTGTTGAAGGGTATAAAAAGGTAGTCCCAAAATTACGAAATGAAATTTAACAAATAAGCGCAGGACTTCGGAATTACACACAGGTGTTGTTGATCGCTTTATATAAGGTATATGTTATTATCAAAGAAGTTTCGGATTTAAAGATGATCAAATCGGGCTCCACCTTAGCTTGGTAAAGATTATTGTAAATATTGACAACTTTGGATCATTTGTGGGGAAGGTATCTGCTAATTGGGTCTATTTAAGCTAGGTAAACGTAATAGATTGTGCAAAGTTTTGTTCAAATCATACATTCCTGTCGCCTAATATAGAATTTATGAATATTGAAAATGTTGACCCTTTGTGGGGAGAAGTACCAGAAGAAGTGGACCATCTTCGGATTTTATCTAGGCTTGATAATGATAATAGGTTGTGCAGGGTTTGGTTCAAATCGGATTGGGCGTTCGCATTT